CTACTCCTCCTACAGTTTTATTCTGATTGCAATAAATCTTGTAACAAAAAAAAGACTACACCAGGGATCATTATTCTATGCATTACTGTTGCAAAGTTTCAAGTCCAAGTGCTACTTTTATCTTCCACTGTTATAAGAGCAAACCAGTAGAGCTAAAGTCTCGTCAGAGACTTCTGTGTGTGCGTGTGTGTGTGTGTGTTTTGAAGTAGCGATCAATTAAAATAAAACATAAGACCAAATGCATTGATAAATATATCAGAGACAACAAATTATTGCAGATTTTTAATGAGGCAAAGGATCTGATCATACGGCAATCAGCATTTCACGTTAATTTCGGTAAGTGGCGGTACTTTAATTTTTAATTTTACGTCGATAGGTACCTCCGTTTTCGAGAAATTATTCGTGATATTAACTTGACCTTGAGTAACCCTGAGTATAATTCTTCATTTGTAATTTAAAGATAATGAAAATACAAACAGATATAAACTCTGAAACAATTTACTGAAAGCGAATATGTTACTTTACATCAAATAACGTAGTACCGTTAACCCCCATCGTGTTCCCCAACGAACATTTTCTTTTAAGAAGTTTTCGCGCTTAAACTAAAATTTGTTTATAATTTTTTTTTTCTCATAAACTTTTGTAAATTAAAAATCTCTTTTTATGGAATCCATCTTGCTTTCCATTTCGGCTGTCTCCGGATTCCGAAGTGTCTTCGTCATCAATGACGATTGTGATGTCAGATTCAGCAGCGAAAGATAATTAGATAGCCGTCATCGTAATTTGTATAGACGTAATCTTCCTCATGTGATCCTTTTACACACCAGAACTCCAATAATGTATTGTTTTTTATGTTTTGAAAAAGAATAGGATGGTTTTGGGGGATACGAAAAAAAAATGCTTAAATTGACGTTTATTATCACTTTAACAAATAAAAAATACATGACTATCTTTTTTAATCACTCTATTATTCACCAGTATTAAGTAAGTTAGGATACCCACTTTTGTAATGCGTTATATATGCAGTTAGTAATATAGTTTTCATTGTGTCTGGTGAGGCAATATATTATACATTCTGATCGGAGACGAAAATAGCGTCTTTTACGTCCCCCTAGACGTGTGTCTTAATTTCAGAGTATATCCAAACTTACTTGGACCGGACATTACGTAACTAAAGGGCCCTCTCCATTGCCAATGTCATATCGGATATTCCCGTATTTATAATGTAACCCAAAATGCGGACACAATACTATCCATGTCTGCACGTCAACCAATACACAAGCAAATTCATCTCGGAAGTGATACGGGTTTCACCAGTCATGGTCGACATGGTATCGGTAAACATTCGAGTTAATGAAATATGCTTGTGTAATGCATGTTCTCAAAATATGTGACAAAAGTGAAAATATTTTTTTCAATAGATTTTTAACATATCTAAAAATGTTTTAGTTTTATCACAACGTCGGTTCCTTTATTTGTCCATAATGGTGAAGTGAAAGAATATACCTTTTAAGTGAAATATGGAGATAACGAACAGTATTCAAGCTCAAAGTTCATTAAAACAATACAAGTCGGGAGCAGAGCAAACACGGACCTCCAAAAACATCTGAGGTGGGATCATGTGTCATGGAGGTGTGAGCATCCCCTGCCGACGGGTCACACCCGCCGTGTGCTACTTGTCATGATCGGTAAGTAACAGAAAAGAGGCCCATGGGCCTTAACGGTCACCTCAGTACAATACAACAATTTAGAGGATCCATAAACTGATAAATGAAGCTTTATTGCCCAAAAGCAAGAAAAATAGTATGATTAGCATCAACAAAATAATTGGTCTAGTATCTATCTGTCCCCAATTTATCACTATTACCATGCAGACTATTAACAAAATGTCTATTTTTAACCCCATATTATTACTTCTCACAGTGGCCTCTCTTGGCTGTTGAAGAACATTTAAAAAGATAAGTTATTTTTGTCTCATTTTTATTCATCTATTATTTCCAAGTCTACCTGATCATTAAAACTATGAAAGTACTTTTTGTATCATACAATAAATATCCTTGCATAATGCTTGTATTCTATTGACTTTTCAAATACATTGTTTACAGTGATTAATTACCAAAAGTGAATGGCAAAGGGGAATAACTTTGCTCAGCAGAATACAAGTTAACAGAGCCCTGGCCAGGACCAGAACACTTGATTAAATGGTCCAGTTCCAATTCTGGTAAAAATACCTTTGCATATTGAAACTTATACTCTGTTTGCCTCGAATATGCCCAGAAGCATAGAAGATTTTCAAAGAAATGCATTTTCACTATATAATTAAAGCCCCACCCTTACACCAGAACATCCAACCCAGGTGCCATGAACTCACACTTCTGGAAGAAGAAACCTTGCTCATCATAACTATACACTTGTTTCTTTGCTTTATAACCAGTAGTAGAAAAAATATTTTGAAAAAATTATGCATTTTCACTATAATCAATAGTCACCCACCTCTTCACCAGAACCCCTGACCCAGGGGCCATGAATTTCACAATATTGGAAAAGGCATTCTTCCTTATCATAACCATGTACTTCCTTTTGTTAAAATTTGAATAATACCCAGGAGCAGAGAAGAAGACTTTGAAAGAATTTATGCATTTTCCCTATATAACCAATAGAGCTCTAACACCAGAACCCTTGACCCAGTGGCTATGAAATTCACAATTTTGGAAGAGGCAACCATGCTCATCATAACTATGTACTTAGTTTATTTAATATCCAGGAGCAGAGAAGATTTTCAACGAATAAATGCAATTTTACTATATAATCATTAGATCCCCGCCCTCATACCTGAACCCCTGACCCAGGGGCCATAAAATTCAAAATTTCTGAAAAGGCAGCCTTGCTCATCATAACTATGTTCTTACTTTATTTAATACCCTGGAGCAGAGAAGATTTTCAAACAATTAATGCATTTTCACTATATAGTCAATAGAGCCCCGCCCTAACACCAGAACCCTTGACCCTGGGGCCATGAAATTCACAAATTTGGAAGAGGCACTCTTGCTCATCATAATTATGTACTTAGTTACTTTATTTAATACCCAGGAGCAGAGAAGAAGATTTTCAAAGAATTAATGCATTTTCACTATATAATCAATATAGCCCCGCCCTAACACCAGAACCCCTGACCCTGGGGCCAGTAAAGAAGATTTTTAAAGATTGCATTAATTTTGGTGGTTTAAGCCCCACTCCTCAGGCCACGGGGGGCAGGGACCATGAAATTCACAATTTTTGTTTCCCTTCACCCATAGATGCTATATGCCAAATTTGGTTGAAATTGGTTAAGCGGTTTCAGAGAAGAAGCTAAAAATGTTCAAATGTTAACACACAACGCACGCCGACGGACGAAAACGGATAGCAATAGGTCACCTGAGCGACTCATGTGATCTAAAAATCCGTCGACAATTCATTGTGTAAATAATGGCCTAACAATTAGTATTAAAAACATCAGTCAGCATATGACTTAATGATAGATTGTATTTGCTGACAAGGTCATTATATCGACCATAGAACTTAAGAAATGATGGCTTTAAACGAGACTGTCTATATTCTTGGTTCATCAACTTGTTTGTCAATAACTTACCTCGTTTTAGAAATTGTTCGTACGTAGAGCATGCTCTTGCGTATCGAATCAACTGAGAGATATACACCCCATATGTAAGCGATAGGGATATATTGCTGCATAAGTAAGGGAAGTCGACGAAAGAAAATTTAAAGACATCGCGTTTATCATAAAGCTTTGTTGTTAGATTACCATTAACTTCCTTTTCTAGTAAAATATCCAAATATGAAACAGATAAGGTCTCAGCACAGCAAACTTGATGGTCAATATACATATCAGAACACTTGAAAAAGGTTAATTACTGAACGAAAGTATGATGAGGCCGCTCAACTAATGATGCGAGAAACTATCTTGATAAATATGGACAGTTAATGACATGATGTGACTGTAGTGTCCTGCGTGATCTAAATTATAAGTGATATGGAGAAACCAGTCTAGCATTTGATTGGCGTTATCTAGTTAATTGTTTGTATGATATTGATTTTTTGAAAGCTGTATGTGATAAACAAAGCTATTACGCATGTTTGCCAAATAATGATAAATTGCCATTAAAGAAGATAACAAATAATTAGAGCATAACTGGATCTTAGAGCAACGACAGGCCTTCCGTACCACAGGACGCAAATTGAGAATAAGTATTTGTTTAGTTACGTTTAAAAGTATCGGAATAAAGTTTCACTTTTAAATTCATATTTTATTATATTTTTTTTTATTGAAAATGTGTATAAATTAACAGAAACAAGAAAACAAGTCCTAATATATATCATTACATATATTGATATGTTGTTCATTTCTCTTGATAAAATATGTCTTGTACGGATTTCGCTAAAAGAGTATTTAATCATAAGATGCCAGCTTTAAAGTTCTAATGGGAAGTTTGGACTATTTTGAATTCAATAAATTTTTAAATTGCTAAAAATAGGTCAATTGACGTGGAAATAAAGTGCATCAGTAATAAAAACCACATTAAAATCAACTTTTAAATATAGGTAACAAATATATGGAAAATTTGTGATGAATTGATGTACAAAGAGTAGTTAAGCGATAAGCCCAAGTATTTCGATTCAATTTTTGTGGCATAAAAATGATGACAATAGCACAGTCATCTATATTCACCGAAGACCGTAATTCAGAATCTTAAATAGATATTTACTAATTTGCATAACTATATGTTGTTTTGTATTGGAAAATAGAATGCATGAGCTGCTTGAATGGTAAACGATTTCCATGCGTGTTCTCCCCTTTTTGATCTGTAGTATTAACATAGAATTGATACAAGAACACCCAATACAAGATAAATGAACTTTCAATCATTTTTTTTAAATCAATGGTAATGCGGTGATGTCTTTTAATCTACAACCCATCATTTGTATTCATCTTTAATATGAAACATATCCAGCCATTGATTTTACTACAAAAGTGGAAAATATCTAGTCATTGAATTAACAAGTGGATTTGTGTGAAAATGGAGACGTTCTCATCCTGGAAATGTGGACTTTATATTCTAATTGTATACCGAGGTAAGAGAATATAACTAATTAACACCAGAAAAAGGAGTGAAAGATTGTGCTTTTGCTTCTTTCTGCAAACAAAATACTATCCGTGGAAGCAATTTTTAATGTCTCTCAAGGATATAAATGAACACACATACGTAAATGAGATAAACATTCAAAGTATAAAAAAATGTTTAGGAAATGTTTATACTTGTATAAATAAAGCGATAAAAATTGGGAACGTATAATAGTAGAACTCATATTTATCAGGCGTAAGTTTTGTTAATAAAAATTTTCAATACGTTCAGATTGCATAGATAGTTTTTAATCTTTAGGAATCAAGTGGATTTAGTTTATAATTTCTTTTCTTCTGAACTGTTTTGATTGAAGAGAGCTTAAATCGTTGAAATTCCATTCCATGTCTTTTTAAGAAAGACCCCCCCCCCCCCCCAAAGAACATGGGTAAACGTGTTAAACCGGAAGCCCACAGAAGAACGAGTATCAAGTTAAGATTTCAAACTCTTCAGAAAAGTAAAAGCTGGATTTTTAGGATTGCAATCGATATAAGATTTTTTAACAAAATAATTTTGCAAATAACCAATGACAAGATAAGTAAATTTACGAGTTCCATTTTTATTGAAAAGGCTATCTATGATGTCAAAAGCGTGAACTGTAATTTATCGTGGGGAAAAAATGCATAAAGTGCTGAAAAGTCGTACAATGTACGTTCGATTAGGGTTGTGTTTATCGATATATCCATACGTACCGATATCCAAGAATATATTGTATGGAAAAAAAAATAATTTCCAATCCGTATCGGGCAGGCAGTTTTTCTTATAATTCTGCAGAAAGGTGGAAATATCAATTACCAAAGATTATATTTTACTGATTTTGAAACTGACCTATAATGATGTAAACAATAAGAAGATAGCACATCTTAAATAATTACTAGTATTACAAAATACATTTTGAAATGGCAGTGAGATAGGAATTTCGAAACGGGTTATAAAACACATTTAATAATTTGCAAGACTTTTTAGATAGACTTACTAAAGAACCCAATATATAGCACATCGCTTTATAAAATGTCATATCGAAATGTTTGGCTCAATGCACAGCTATTGAATTTAGTAAAATTTTGTGATTTTAAATTTTCTAAAAATTCCTTGGAGTTTTTAAGTATCCACGTCATATTAACACCACTTCTCGAATATATTGTTGTACAGTACAGTTTTTAAGTATCCACAACAGTTTTACACAACTTCTCGAAAATATTGTTGTACAGTACAGTGACACTGATACATCTGTTTCATATTTGGATATTTTACTAGAAAAAGACGTTAATGGTAATCTAACAACCAAGCTTTATGATAAACGTGATGACTTTAATTTTTCAATCGTCAACTTCCCTTACTTATGCAGCAATATACCTTCATCACCTGCATATGGGGTTTATATCTCTCAGTTGATTCGATATGCAAGAGCGTGCTCTACGTATGAACAATTTTTAATACGAGGTAAGTTATTGACAAACAAGTGATGAAACAGGAATATCAGCAGTCTCGTTTTAAGTCGTCATTTCGTAAGTTCTATGGTCGATACAATGACCTTGTCAGCAAATACAATTTATCATTAAGTGAAATGCTGACTGACGATTTTCATACTAATTGTTAGGCCATTATTTACACATTGAATTGTCGACAGATTTTTCCGTTTTTACCCGATCATGATCAGGAGCACGCGGCGGGTGTGCGGCAGGGGATGCTCACTCCTCCATGGCACCTGTTCCCACCTTTGATGTTTTAGAGGTCCGTGTTTTCTCTGCTCCAAATTTATATTGTTGAATGGACTTCTGAGCTTGAATACTGTTTGTTATCTCAATACATTTCATTTTATGTATCCACATCAGATTTACACCACTTCTCGTATATATTGTTGTACAGTACAGTTTTTATGTACCCACATCAGATTTACACCACTTCTCGAATATTTTGTATAGAACTCCTTAAGTGTCTCCTTCAGGCCAAATTTAAATTAATGTGTGTTTGCCCTCTCCCGACTCAGGACGGAAACTTTGGATCGGTAGGTAAGTGGAAAAAAAATTTCATGGAAAATTTTCAAATCAATGCTGAATTTTCAAAATCTTTTTTTTTCCGGAATGCATAAAAAAGATTATTGTTTCCTGGAAGTTAAAAAAAAAAGATTTTTAGAGTCGGGTCATTTTTAGCCAGTCAGTCGGGAGAGGGCAACTAAACAAATTTTTAAAGATGGCTTCACTGTTGTTAATATTTTAATGAGAGCAGTATAGGTATGGTAATTCAAATTCAATTTGTTTGTTAGACATAGGAAAATAGATTTAAAACTGATATTTTGAAGTATTTCCTCTTTAAAAGTTTTTTTTAAGTAGATACCATGCTTATTAGCTTGATATAAAATAGAAATAATCCGTGATATCTTGCAACGACAGCACAGGCTTTTTACACTGTGGACTAGTATTGTATAACAATTGAAGTAAATAGAAGAACTAAACTACCATTCAAGTATAAACACTTTTATGTTACCATGGGTAAATATACATTACTTTGTGATTTCAAAGACATTTTGTCAGCATTTTCAGTAACTTAACTGCTAATTTTCATCAGTATTTTCCATATATTTAGTTATATCATTGATAAATATTTTGAATAAGTTTGGACTTAAGTTAACACCCAATTTTACTGGGAAGTTCTTAATACCAACATGTACAACAGTATATCAAAAGCTTTCCTAAAATCAAAAAGCAAACATATCGTCTTCATCATGTGTTAAATAAAGTACGCAAAATAAACATATGGTCAGAGGTTCTAGCTTTCTTTGAAAAGCCAATTTGACAAATATTTATAATGTGAGGTCCAAGCAAAAAACATATACGCGAGAGGATGCTTTGGGGAAAAGTCAGTTCGCGCATGCAACAGAATGCTACTGGTACACCACTAAGGCAACTCGCCCACAATGAAACTCAGCCAAAACTTACCCAAATCTCTCTTTACACACACGTATCTTAATTAGTAAAAAAAATATATTCTCTGCTTTACTTTTGTATCTAATATAGTGGAAAGCCTATGGTACAAGCAACTCATAGGAAATTATGAATGAAAAGGGGAATGTCTTTTTTTGGAAGGGGGGGGGGGGGCTAGGGTTCCCGATTCCTGTTGATCGTATCAAAAGTTCAACATCTTCATAACATATAATGAGACGTGAAGCCATCTTGTAATTATGAGGTTATCGTCAATGCTACATTACAATAATAAATACCTAGATTAACATAAATTATTATTTATTGTTACAGCTCAATTTCGCAATAAGACTTTGCACTTCATGTGATGAATTACTTCATGTGATAGGAAAAGAAACATATATTTCAAAATTTGATATCATATTAAAAACAACTTTTCAATACAACCTAAATTCTTCTCTTCAAATGTCTGCTAGAAACACATGTATAAGGTCCACGTATTGCAGACTTTTTTTAAGGTAAGGACAGCAACTTGCTTTTTCTATAAAAGTATCAAAACTATTGTTCGAGATGATGTTAAAAAGTTAAAAAGCGGCCGGGGCTTGAACCCACAACCTTCCGATCACTGTGCGATCGCTCTACTGAGTGAGTACCGTAACGGATTTTTCATCACTGAATCCATGCCACTTGACAGAAAAAGGAGGGGGGGGGGGGTTAGGGGATCCAAATAGGCTCAAAGGGGACCGTCTGAAACACATACACATATGGACAGAGAAGCTGAAACACTTCCAACTCGGCTTTCAGCAAAGAATAATCAATGTTCTGGCTTGAGTTTTACTAACATATCTTAAGATACGATAATTTTTTGAACTTACGAAATTCTTATGTTCATACTTAAGATACGAATTGTCTGTTTTACTAAGGCGATCGTAACTTTTCATCGTAAACTTAACTTAAGATTATTCTTAAATTACGAAATTGGAGCTCTTTTTTGTTTGAGGAAAATATTTCTCTTGGTAACGACGCCGCGCAAGCGCAATTACTTGTTTCGCTTTACCCCGCGATCGTCTGCTGTTTTTGAGTCTAACACCTATTGACAACTATGTCTGAATTGAAAAAGCGAAAACCAAACTGGAGCGAAAGAGAGCGCCTTGCACTGTCCGAGGCAGTTGAGCCGAGGTACAAGTTTTTAAAGGGAAAACTTACTCCTGGTTTAACCAGTGAGAAGAAAAATGACACATGGAACGAGATAGCCAACCAGTAAGTAACATATCATACGTATGTCATGTTTATTAGTTTTATTAAAGTAAAAATTCATACCATTCATTGTTATTTGAACCGCTTCAGATAACGTGTGCATTAATTTATGCAGAAGAAAGAATATATATAGGTCGCCTTTTGTTACGTGCTAAATGTAGGTCAAGTCTACGTAAAGTACTGAGAGTACTGATACAGAGGAGAAAAAAAAAAGATTAATTGATATTTTTAACCTCAAACCGTAAAGAGATTTTGGGAGCATTAGGCTTGACAAAGTTTTTGTTTTACTTATACTTGTTTCCACTGCTAATTTATTATCTTTTTATTTAATAGATGTAAAATGTATTTATGTATGTTTTATATTAAAATAGAGTGAATTCTGTGACAATGGTCAATAGGACCTTAGAGGAAATGAAAAAGAAATGGGCGGACATGCAGTCCATTACAAAGAAAAAGGAGGCAGAACGTAGAAGATCAATGTCAATGACCGGAGGAGGACCAGCTCCAGAGTTCTATTTTAAAGATTGGGAAAAAGTGGTACTTCACATAATATATTTTATTTACTGTAAAATTTTAAACAATATATTTACAGAATGTATTTAAGAGCTAGTTCATGTGTTTATTAGGTGTTGTAAATTTCATTCTCTGGTAATTTATTTAGATAAAGTTTTTTAGAAAGGAAATCGTTCTAGGTACTGTGTGAGAAAAATTAAATTTCATCACATGATTACCCCTTTATCCAGTAGATATCACTCATTGGATATTTTTTTGATATATATACCACTAATGTGATGTCAAAATGAATTTTGCGTGAAAATGATGAAGTAAATTGTGTTGATTCTTGTATAGAAAGTGTAAAACATTGAATTTGATGTATAAAACAATTGTGATAAAAAGAATCTCCCATAATTTGTGGTTAGAATACATGTATTTGATTTTTATCCAACTTGGCATGGCTCAGGGATAAAAAACACACAATTTGTTGGATAAAAATTATCTCAAACCACAAAGCATAGGAGATCCTATAACTAGCTTTAATTAAATTTCCCTAAATTTAAGCTCATGATATTGTTTTTTCATAGTTGCCTAAATAATTAATAATTAAATCATGAACAACAAAATGATCAGAAAATTGGTACTGAAAGTTGACATCCCTCCTACTTAGTCTTTCTAAATTAAGGTCTCATTTGATGAAAATTTTTACAGGTATTACAGACTCTCTCAGATATTGCCATAGAAGGTATAATTAAGCTCTGGAGTGGATACAGCTGAATGTTGTATGTTTGCATATTATAATTTATTTTTCATAAGCAAATTAATAAATTTTGTTCAGACACTTCAAGACTGATTCATTAAATCATATCCAATGACAAATCATGTGAGATCATACAGATGGTAAAGATATAAACTTCTGTCAAGGAAACAACGCTATAATTTCATGTTCCTGTGTTCATACAAATGTAATCTTTCCTTCAATATTTAACATTTTAAAACAGGAAAAAAGAGTAACTAATATTTATTATATTGTAGCAAGTAAACCATCCCTTATAATGCCAGGCATGATCACTATACATGAAGTACCATCATCTGAACTGAGCCAGACAGCTATCACTCCTGGAACCAGTAAAAGATTTGATGATCCCTTTATATCGCAAGGTAACTTAAATTTCATACTGATTACATTGATTATTCTCTTAAAATGCACAAATAACAATTACTTTTGAGCAATTATGACCAATAATTTAATTTCATTAATCATATTCTTTCTTTCACAGAAGTCATGACAATCAACACTAGTAGCATGTGTACAGATGTGAGTACTGAGAGTAAGTTAAATACAAACAAAGTGATGATTGTAAATTTTTACAACACTTATCAGAAGTTTAACTGGTAAGAGGTGCAAATAGTCACATATGGTGATCAGTTTCCATCTGATCATTTACATCAACCATGATGTATCTGGCTTTCTATGGTATAGTAGATCACCAATAGTTGAAAAAGGAACAAAATTACATATGTTATAGTTCTAATGACATCATTCTCAAAAATAACAATGTCCATAAAATGTATTCAAATATTTTTTTCAATAACAAAAGATATATATTTCAAATTTAATTACAGAAGAATACAGACAAACTCCTGAAAAGCTGGGGAAACAGGCAAAGGCACCAAGGAAAGGTAACAATTAAGTAAAGAATAATTAGTTGATGAGTTAAATTTCTACCAAGAGTCAGAAGCAGTGATATTTTAAAAGAGAAATACACAATGAGTATGCCAAGAAATTGTTCATCCCACTCATTTGTCACAGTTAATTGTTAATTTGATTTCAACAAATACTGTGGAATCATTTTAATTCATGGGGGTCAATGTTCGTGAGCATGCAAGCAAAATGTTACTTCTTCGTTGTGACATGATTTCATGGGTTACTCATTTATACAGTAAATTCAATGAATCTATATTGTTTACAAAATAAACATTCAAGGGGATGTAAATATATATTACAGCCATATTTCCCAAAGAAGTCTAATTATACCGGGAGGTTGATTTGTAAGAGTTGAAGGTCAAATGTTAGCAGGCTACTACCTTGATACCATTAAATGATTTTACTTCTCAAAGCATGATATTTTGTTTTTGTGAATGCAGAGTATTTAAATTTACAATGGTATGAAACATAACACTGAAAAAACATTTGGCCAGCATATCAATATAAATTAATTGTCAGTGATATTAATTTAAAAAAAAAAGTTTTCATATTTACTTTATTTTTATAGAAAATGAAGTTTCCCAGTTACTTAATTTGGAGAAAGAGAAGATTGCTAAGTTAGAGGCTTATAGATTAAAGAAAATCAAGATTCTTGAGGAAATGCTTGATCTTCAACGCAGAAACACAATTGCAGTAGAATCAATTAGCAAATCCATGCAACAGTCTGGAAATTCTCAACCTTTATCAATGTCATTATCTCCTGTAATCAAATTCTCTTAATTAGTACCCTTCATTTACCAAATGTAATACTGCACAGTGGGGTTCTTTAGTGGGTGTTAAATTTGGTGTTTTGCTTGCTCAGAGGTAATTATGCCAATAATTTTGGCCGAACTTTTTTATGAGACACAGAGTCAATTCTGTGACATTGCAAAAAAGAGGAAATCATTCTTTTAGCTAAGTTTCAGTATGTTTAATATATGTTTGAATACCGATTTACACAAAAGTTTGAGTAAATACAATACCAGATGAAAGTTATATTGCTTATACAACAGACTAATCAAAGTTATTTAAATGATTTTTCTTGTATTCAGAAGTGATAATGAAGAGTGCAAATTTGATGATTAAAATTTTAGCGACTTACTACAAAACTACTAAAATAAGCCAAAGTTAGCATCCCACTAAAAACACCTGCTATACAGTACTTACTAAGATATTGAAATAATTGTCAAATTACTTAAATGAAGGCCAATCACAAGTCATTGTTCTAATTTTTTGGATATTATAATTATGATCAGAGTGTTTTCTCAAGTAGAAAAATACAATGTGTGCAATAACGTCATTTGCTCCTTTAAAAAAATGTTTTATTCAAAGTCAAAGGTATTAATTAATTAACTAATAAGAGGCCCATGGGCCACAATACTCACCTGAATAACTCTGCTTTTTTATGGTTTTTAGCTCACCTGAGCTGAAAGCTCAATTGAGCTTTTTCTGATCTTTTGTCTGTAGTCTGTCTGTCTGTCCGTCTGTAAACTTTTCACATTTTCGACTTCTTCTCCAGAACCACTGGACCAATTTCAATCAAACTTGCCACAAAGCATCTTTGGTTGAAGGGGATTCAAGTTTGTTTAAATGAAGGGCCTTATTCAAGGGAAGATAATTTTGAAATAGTGAAAATTTGGTGGCAGGTTTAAAAATCTTCTCAAGAACCACTGGGCCAAAAAAGTTTAAACTTATAGGAAACCTTGTTTACATTGGGTAGATTCAAGTTTGTTTAAACTATGACCCCTAGGTTAGGGTGGGGCCACAATGGGGGATCAAATTTTTACATAGAGTATATAGGAAGAAATCTTCTGCCAAAGAACAGAAAAAACATGTTTAGTTATATTGATATGGAAGCATCCTCAGATGCTGTAAATTCATTTTTTTTTTCAAATCAAGACCCCAGGGTGGGGCCACAATAGGGTGGTCAAATTTTTACATAGGAATATATATAGGAAAAAACTTTAAAAATCTTCTGCTCAAGGGCAGCAAAGCCATTTGTTATATTGAAATGGACGCATCCTCAGGTAAAAAAAAATTCAATCCCCCCCCCCTTTAAACTATTCAATACTAAACTGATTTGTGCTTTTTCCTTGCCAGTGTGCTCAGGTGAGCGATGTGGCCCATGGGCCTCTTTTTAGAGCCCCCCCCCCTCTTTATTTGAACAATAAAATGCTTTCTTTGTAATGCTTTTATCTCCCGTTTTTTATGTCATTATGCAAGGAAATGATCATATGAACCATGCTGTTAGATGGATTGTAGAGAAACTTTTATGCTTATGTACAAAGTATTGTCATCATTTTATCCACTCCAGTTGTGTGTGTCAAAGAAATCAGATAGAATTACAGGTTGTCATCCGATAAGTGTTTGAAAAACTTGTTGCTGTTATCATTTTATTTATTTTGTTTAAGTCTATATCGTACATATACATGCATATTAATCTAACCCTTATCATCTTAATAAAGTCTGCTGTCTAGCAACTTGGAACTGAAATACCTCTTCAAAATCTTTGTACAAGTCTCTCTCTCAGCACTGCTGCTGCAACAATGTTTGGAAAAACTGGAGCAAAAGGTTGCTGGCCATCATCTCCTACCTCAGTTTCCACCATGAGTGGCACCTTTTCATTTATAGCCAAGTTGTGTAACCTGATAGCACATTCAATAATTTTGGTGCACTTGTCTGGTTTATAAGGCAAGCACCCACCAGTTTTATGCAGACACCTGTAAGTAAATGAGTTTCAGATTTTTCCTTTCAATAAACACATTTTTACTTTGAAGAAAATTCTATTCATAATGAACAAAAACTTATCTAATTTGAGTGAAAAGTTATTAAAGTAAAATACCTGAAACGAGCTTTCAGCACACCAAATGCTCTTTCAATGACATTTCTGGTACGGCAGTGAGCAGAGTTGTAGCGCTCCTCTTGTCCACCTCTAGGTTTTGAAAAAGGACATCAATCAACCAAGCTTGTTGTAAATTTACTAGGGCCCGACACTCTAGACCACTTATGAGTTATTTAATAAAAATGTTATTATGGAAGCATAGAGTGTTTCGGCGGTTTTTAAAGAGAAATATGATATTTTTGCTCTTAAGGCCCGCCATCATCAGGAGCCCACCTTTTTTATGTGTCTTAAGCTATTGTAAGCGTGACTTGATTATTATTTCGCCTATGTTTTTGTGTTTACTGTAGGCGATTATTGGTTCATCAATAAATATCTCTTTGCAAATTGTGTCTGTTTGCAAGATGTTCCAGTGTTTGAGAATGCGTTTTTTTAAATCCTTAATATATGGATTGTATTTGGTAATCATAACATTTGGTTGACGCTTTTTTTCTTTCAAGATTTTTTATGCAAGTACTTTTTTCTGTTTGTTTTGCCCATTTCAGTGAGAATAGGATCAACTTCCTTATCAGAGTAACCTCTCTTGGACAAGTGTGTCTTAAAGTTTGCTAGAATCGTTGTTAAGATAGATGAATCACTTGTATTTCTTGCATGTCTGATGCATTCACCTTTTATAAATCCTTTAAATACTGAAGGACTGTGGGCGCTTTCTCTGTGTAAATACTGAAAATTGTTTGTTGGTTTTACATATGATTGGATATCAAGCACTTTATTCTCTTGGAATCTCAGGCCTTTGTATATTGTGGTGTCAAGAAAGTTAATACTTTCATCTGAGATTTCAAAGGTGAATTTTAAGTGATCGTGGCAGGTATTGCCGATATCGAAGAATTCTAGAATTTCCTTTTTTGTGCCGTTAAAGGCTATAAAACCGTCATCTCTATATCTACCGTGATAGAGAACTTGGTTGGCGAATTTGAATTTTGACATAATATGATTTGTGATTTGATACATTCTTGTATCTGAAATTTCAGGGGATGGTATCGCACCCATGCTACAGCCTATAATTTGTTTGTAATATTTTCCATTGAATTCAAAGTAATTGTTTTCTAAGACACACTTTAGAAGGAAGATTAGATCTTCAGCATTTGGATAAGGGATCTCTCTTTGTGGTTTGTTAGCGCTTTGATATGCTTCATTGACGGCGGAGAGGAGCTCGTCAAATTCCATGTTAGTGTACATACTAGTTACATCATATGTAATCAGCAGCACGTCGTCTGGAAGTTTGAGGGTTTCTATTTTGTTGATAAAATCGGTAGTGTCCTTAATATATGTTGATTGTTTTTGTACTATAGGAATGAGAAAATAATCACAGTAAGCGCCTATGTTCCGTGTTGGCGTATCACACTGTGAAATAATTGGGCGACCAGGTGGTAGCTGTTTGATGCTGCATTGGCCTTTCATTAGGGCATCTCGGACATTATCTTTGACTTTGTGTATTTTAGGGAGCAAGTATAGATGACCGCATTTTAGCAAGGGTTTGTTATCACAGAGAAAGCGATATGTTTCCTTATCTATTGTTCCCTTGGAGTGCATTTCAGTAATTTTATTTTGTATGATTTTATGCAAGTTGTGTAAATTGGGTTTTTCAACTTGCATGTAATGTTTGGATTGCAATTGGCGCAGCGCCTCTGAGATATACAGGTCTTTGTCCATAATAACAATTGTGTTGCTTTTGTCCGCTTTTTTGATAACAATATTGCTATTGTTTCTTAGAGAATTAAGTGCTTCTCTTTCTAGTTTAGAAGTATTGTTGTGTATTTTCCTGATTGGAATAGATGATAGTTCCAATTTGGTTTTGTCAATGTATTGTTCTAAGGTATTACAAGCAAATGGAGGTTTGTGACCAGATGGTTTTCTGATAGGTGTCATTAGCCACTCTTTAAGGGGATAACCCGAATCACCAGTGATCCATCCTCCGCTCTGAAGACTCACCATTAGGTTTGGCAAGAAACTATTTTGTAGTATATATGCGTCATGGGTTGACCCGGGGAATTTGCATACTGCATTAGTGAATCTGAAAATTGATTGTATGGAAAAATAAAGTATTTTCTTTGATGTAATTTAGGTATAAACATTCCAATAATTATCATTTTATGTTACTTATTTGAAAAAAAAAGTTTCAATGGCTATGCAAACCTTAAATCAGCGTCAACAACTGCTTGAACATTAATGGAGTGAAACCCCTTTCTGCACACATATAGATGTTCGTCATCTGTAGTCATGCCTTGTATAGGTATTTGAGTGCCATCGATTGCACCCACGACATTGGGAAACCCAGCAATCTTGTAAAATGCTGCTTTAATGTTTGTTAATTGTTCTTTTCTTGAAGGGAATTGGATGTTGTTCAAATTTTTACATATAGCGTTGATTACACGATGTATGATCAAACAACCTGAGGCTTTGGAAATGCCATGGATGTCCGTCGTTTCTGATAAATAGTCTCCTTTAGCTAGGAAACGCAGACATGTTAGAACCTGAAATTAAAAAAGTTCTGATGATAAAAGATCCTGTATATATATATATATATTTTTTTTATTTTGAAAAACTACTGTCATCTTTAATAAAAAGTTGCAAATCCTATATTTATGGTCATAACCCGTCAGAATATTGTGTATGTCACTATCAAGGTCATTTGAATGGTGGTCAAATTATATAATGTCTTAAAAATTCTGTCTAAACTTGGTTCTATGTTACTTTAAAGATTTAAAAAAAATCTGAATTACTTTGGCCCTGTTGTTCTCAATCAGCAGATTTCCCCTATATAAATTCCTATGTATAATTTGATCGCCGATTGTCACCCCATCCTAGCCCCGGGGTTGAAATTTCCTCAGTGGTTCAGAAGTCAAAATGTGAAAAGTTTACAATGGACAAACAGACAGGCGGACGTCGGACGACGAACACAATATTCATATTGTGCACATATTTTACTTAGCTTATGTAGACAATATAACATAATTCATTTTTCACAAACAAACATACACCCTGATATGCTTCATGTTGTCTAAGAGAAGGGGGGTAGAGAGAATTTTACACCTGAATCAGTTGCAGGAAAATAAAGTAACAATTCTCTTATCAGGATACATCGCTCAAAGTTGTTAAACTTTTCTACGAGACTGTCAGACTGGAATACTTATAAAACGTATTAAGTACAGGTCCACGTAACAATCAGGCAGGAGGTGATACAAAGGGTATTCAGAAATTAATGATTTTTCACTCACAGGTTTTTCTTGGTCTATAAGCCGTGTATGTGGAAGGAAAAATATTTTGGGTCATTGTTACTATGGAAACCTTGACAAAGAAATTTCCCTAGCAACCGCCCAATTTTTCTTTCTAGATTGACGAAATTTCACTCATTTTGAAGGCTTTATACGAAACGTATATAAAGTGATTTTTTCTTTTATCTAGTGTAATAAGAAAGATACATTTTTAAAGTGTTCTGTCAACATAATAAAAAGAAATTACATTCTCGAATATATTTGCTATAGACACAGGTAAAGATACATGTTTCCCATTTTTTGCTGATTCAGCATTTCGCTTGATTTTAGCAAAAATCAAGTCAATATTATTCATTTCACCATCTTAATACAACTGTTTCATCTATTTCAAGTAAAACTACAGGAAAGCTTCTCTAAGAATTTGAAATAAAAAGTTTTGCAAATTTGAAAATTCCTATCTGTTGCTAAGCAACAGAAATGGATGGTTTCATTAATTAAAAAGGGATAATTGTAAAACATTGGAGGAAAAATCGTATAAATTGTAATCATTGAGTACCAAATACACAAATTTTAAACTAATAAAATATTCAATATTCTTCCTTGTATACTAAAGATTATTTTACAATAAGCTATCTCCATAGCAACAGCAAATTTTCCTTGGCAACGAAGCATTGAAAGTTATTTATAGCACATATTCATCTAAGTTTTTAAAAGATTATCTGATTCTTATTGTTGGATTGCTATTGCCCAGAATCAACATTGTCAAACTGTTTTTTAAAAAGTATTTTTTAAAGTTAATTCATCCATAGGAACAGAACTTGTCTACATAGCAACAAATGTATTTTATAAGGAATCAGTATGTAGCAATTCCTTAACAAAATTTGTGTCTTTAAAGGATGTTTACTAGGCAAAAACATTTTACTTATGGGAATGAAAGATCATTTATTTGACTTATGACTGTGGTATTTATTTCACTTTGAAATAGTAAATCAATGACCTACTTTTCATGCCAGTGGCCAAATGAGACTTGAGAGTCTTAAAATTTCTTGCAAATTCCTGAAAATTTTGCATCATGACCAATATTTGCATCGAAAATTGGATAGTCTAACTTCTGACAAGTTTTTAAAAAACAGTAATCTTTTAATAAAAAAAATTGACTTTTGATGAGGTCTACTTGTGAAAATGTAGAACTGGTGAGGTATTGATTGACCGAGGCCGAAGGCTGAGGTTAATCAGTTCCTGACAAAGTCCGCATGGGCACGAGTAGGCCGAATTCAAAAGGTCAATAAAAATAAATGTTTATATTGTAATCATTGGATACCAAAAACAAATTTTAAAAGAATATATACAATATTCTTCTGCGTAAACTAAATGCAATTAAAAAAAATTTCCATCTCCCATGGCAACAGAAAATTTTCCTTAGCAACAAGGCAAGGAAAGTAATATTTAGCACAAACATGTATTCATGAAATTTTTTTAAAATATTTATATTATATTTTTGCAGTACAACTGAATTTGCGCAGTCTGACTGGCTCTTCTACTTTTTTGTTGAATCTTCCTATGCTATTGAAATTGTAATAAATATTCAAATATCCCACATAAACAAAGTTTGGGGCTTGGGGAGTTGGGGGGTTGGGGTGTGTGTTATACAGAAATCCCTTTACTGTGTGTCCTTCCGTCCATGCAATCTTCTCGCTATAACTTGAAAAACACTGGAAGCTCATACTTTGTACAGAGATTGCTTATGACCCAAGGAAGTGCCATGCCCTTGACACAAGGTCATGCCAGCATGTTCAAGGTCACTGGCAAAAAAAGGTGTATAAAAGTTGTTGCCCGGTCCAAAACTTTGTAACGGGGAATCATTGGATGCTCATACTTAGTACAGTAATAGCTTTGTTGACCTAAGTGTGTTAAGACCTTGACCCAAAGCCATTTTGATTAGTTCAAAGTCATTTGGTGAAAATTTTTATAAGTATCTGGGTAATAAGTGATTTTGTAACGGCGAATCTCTGGAAGCTCATACATGGAATAAAATTTGCTGATGATCAAAGAGTGTTTGTTGACCTTGACCCTAGGTCATTCCAGAAAGTACGTATTCACTGGCAGAAAAACTATATAATGGAGAATTACTGGAAGCTCATACTTGGTACAAAGATTGCTTTTGACCTAAGAGTAAAGCCGACCTTAACCCAAACCCATTTTTGCGCGCAAGTTCAAGTTCACTTACAGAAAGTATAAAATTCTGGTTTGTCCTTTAACTTTGTAATTGAGAGTTAATAGGCTTATACATTGTACAGAGAATGCTTTTGACCGTGGGTAATTCATGACCCTGACCCATGTAGGTTTTGGCAAGTTCAAGGTCACTGACGAAAACATATTAAATGCTTGTCCAACTTTGTAATGGTGTTTCACTTGTAGCTTTACTTGAAACAGAGCTTGCTAATGATCCGAGGGTGTGTCCTCATATTTAATAAAGATCATTCCTCCAAGCTCAAGATCACTGGCTGGAAAGGAAAAAAAATTCTTGTCTGGGTTATTTTTCTTTTACCCTTGACTTTGACATTGTGACCTCAGAATCAACAACGATCATCCTTTTTCTTGGGGGAACCAATTCGAAATTTGTCATGCTAAGGAATTTTAGCTAACCTGAGCGAAGGCTCAAGTGAGCTTTTCTGATCAAAAAGAGTCCGACGTCTGTCGTCGTTGTAATTGTAAACTTTTCACGTTTTCATCTACCTCTCGAGAACCACTGGGCCAATTTCAACCAAACTAGCCACAAAGTACCCTTGAGTAAAGGGGATTCAAGTTTGTTCAGTTGAAGGGACACACCTTCTTCCAAAGGGATATTATGATGATTTTGTGAAAAATTAATGGCATCATTTAAAAAAACAAATCTTGTTCAAATCATAACCCCGGGGGTAGGGCGGGGCCACAATGGGCGATCAAAGTTTTAAATATGAAGACAAAGGGAAAATCTTAAATTATTCACAAGACCAACAAAGCCATGATTGGTCATAAAAATATAAAAGCATCCTCAGTTAATGTTAATTTAATTTTTTTTCAAATCATGACCACCCAGGAGAATAGAGGCGCCATAACAGGAGATCATATTTATACAAAGGAATATTAAGGATATAATCAATAAAAAATTACTATGAATGGGTTCAGTCAGCATACAATTCAAAGATAGATTGCATTTGCTGACAAAGTCATTGTATCGACCATAGAACTTGCGAAATTATGACTATAAACAAGACTGTTGATATTCTTATTTCATCAACTTGTTTGTCAGTAGCTTGCCTCCTTTTAGAAATTATTCGTACCTAGAACATCTCTTGCGTATTGAACCAACTTGGAGATATAAAACAAGCTTAGATTATAGTTAAAGCACAAACTTTAATTGTTTATTTCATGAAACAAGAGTGACACTATTTTTCTGTGTATTTCTTTTATTTTTTCATTAAGCTCGTTATATCAAAAATATTTTTTAGTTATTACATGAAAATATCCTGTCATAACTAGACTAGTAAATAATAAAAATCGAGAGTTAGTTATCTCGTAATAATTTAATTCTGGTTGTAACACGTCATTTGATAGAATAAAAGATGTAGTTTATACCGTATAACATATGTTGCCTACGTCACAATGACCTACGCCAAAAACGTATTATTTGGCTTGATGTACTTTTAAAATATGCTTAATTTGAAGGCATTTCTTAAGGAAAATTGTCTTAATTGGAAAATTAAATTATCAGAAATGAATTATTAATAGCTGCCCAGGTTACACTGGTATAACCTGGGTTGGAACAGTTTACGCTTTTTTTATTAACCGCTTCACGGTTTATAAAGCGAAAACTGTCCCAACGCAGGTTATACCGTACAGTATAACTGGAGTAGCTATTAAATTCATTCCTTAAATAATGGATTAGTTACCCCAATAAAATGAATTTCCTATCTTGCTTTTATAACGAGTTGGTTTCATATTATAATAATTTTTTAATCTCATTCTCCAGGAGTTAGTAGTCTCGTTACAACGAGTTTGTTATCTTGTTAAAACGTTTCAACGAGTTAGTCATTTTTTTTAATAATAAATTAGTTATCTTGTTCATGAGTTAGTATCTCATTATAACTTATTACATATGTAGTAATTTCATCAAAATAAGTTTTTTTATCTTGTAATTTAGGAGACAGAAGTCTCGCTACAAAGAGTTTGTTTATTTAGGTTTTCTGTCTAAGCCAATCTTGATAGCTTTGCTTACATTTTTATCTGCCAGTCAAATTGCACACAGACTCCAGTACCGAACCGTCTGAACTCCTTATAAGTAAATGGTTTGAATATTTATAGTTTTAATATACTATTTTCCACCTTTGTTAAACAGTTTAAGCTGTTGAAAAATAATTATGATATCTTGCTGCAAAACAAAATACTAAGTATATTATGGGCGTTAATATATATTTGATGAAGAAAATAGGTGGATTGTGAAAAATGTAAAAAAAAAAAAAAAAAAAAAAAAAAAAAAAAAAAAAAAAATCCTGATACTTTAAAATACAGTTATTGACTTCTACTTGTTAGGTCTACTTGTCTAGGTCTACTTGTTACTATACGGACTTTGTCGGGAACTGATTAACCTCAGCCTTCAGCCTCGGTCAACCAATACCTCATCAGGTCTGCATTGTCACAAGTAGACCTTATCAAAAATCTATTTTTTTTTATTACGAGATTACTGTTTTTTTTAAACTTATCAGAAGTAAAACTATCCAGTTTTCGTTGCACATATTAGTCATGATGCAAAATTTTCAGGAATTTGCAAGAAATTTTAAGACTCTAGAGTCTCAATAAGCCACTAGCATGAAAAATAGGTTATTGATTTACTATTTCAAAGTGAAAAAAATACCACAGTCATAAGTCAAGTAAGTAATATTCATTCCCATTAGTAGAATGTTTTTGCCTAGTAAACATCCTTTAAAGACAAAGATTTTTGTTGAGGAATTGCTACATACTGATTCTTTATAAAATACATTTGTTGCTATGTAGACAAGTTCTGTTCCTATGGATGAATTAACTCAAAAATACCTTTGAAAAACCAGTTTGACAATGTCGATTCTGGGCAATAGCAATTCAACAATAAGAATCAGATAATCTTTTTAAAAAATTAAATGAATATGTCCTATAAATAAATTTCAATGCTTCGTTGCCAAGGAAAATTTGCTGTTGCTATGGAGATAGCTTATTGTAAAATAATCTTTAGTATACAAGGAAGAATACTGTATATTTTACTATTTTAAAATTTGTTTTTGGTACTCAATGATTAGAATTTATTCGATTTTTCTTGCAATGCTTTTCATTTTCTCCTTTTTTAATTAATCAAACCATCCATATTTGTTGGTTAGCAACAGATAGGAATTCTCAAATTTGCAAAACTTTTTATTTCAATTTCTAAGAGAAGCTTTCCAGTGGTTTTACACGAAATAGATGAAACAGTTGTATTAAGATGGTGAAATGAATAATATCGACTTGATTTTTGCTAAAATCAAGCAAAATGCTGAATCAGCAAAAAATGGGAAACATGTATCTTTACCTGTGTCTATAGCAAATATATTCGAGAATGTAATTTCTTTTTATTATGTTGACAGAACACTTTAAAAATGTATCTTTCTTACTGCACTAAATAAGAGAAAAAATCACTTTATATACGTTTCGTATAAAGCCTTCAAAATGAGTGAAATTTCGTCAATCTAGAAAGAAAAATTGGGCGGTTGCTAGGGAAATTTCTTTGTCAAGGTTTCCATAGTAACAATGACCCAAAATATTTTTCCTTCCACATACACGGCTTATAGACCAAGAAAAAACTGTGAGTGAAAAATCATTAATTTCTGAGAACCCCCATGTATCACCTTTTATATATAGGCTGCCTGATTGTTACGTGGAACTGTACTTAAGTTATGAAGGTTTAATTACGACAATAAAATCTTACCGAGTTCGTACTCAAACACCCCGCCCCCTTTTTGTTTTGTTTTTCTGCTTGTTTTGTTTTGATTTTTTTTGTCTTTGTCATGATAATTTCTATGATCATTCAGTCTGTTAAGATGGGAAATTTTACGCATAATTTGATTAACAGTGCTCCAATTGATTTTGTGATATATTTTTTTTATAATTCAAACATTTCCATAATGATGAAAAAAGGAACTTTTCCTGTCGAACAAGTCAGTGTTTTTGTGTGTATGGACTTGTCCTATCATAAAGCGAACAATCGGACAAGCTTTGATGTTAAGCTTGGATTATGTTGTCATGTTAAGTCAGTGCAAAATACAATTAGTTGTCATGTTGTGAATTTGGTATTTATGCCACCCGGTAAATTCAAAATTTACAACATGACAATATAAAAATAAATGAGAAACAGGCATAAATTCTACCCATGCCTAGATCTAGAAGGGGGAGGATACCTGTGATTTTTAGTTATGTACGTAGTGTCCTAGTACCCAATCACACCCTTTAAAACACAGGATACCTCAAATGATGGTGCTTGTAAGCAGAGTATTGTGTAAAAAGAAAATATTGGCTTAGGAAAGTGACAAATTTTTACCTTTTTTTGGTCCAAAAATATTCCGAGTCCTATATTTTTTTGTTACTTTGCCCCCACCCCGCATGTTACCAAAGACCCTCGCTAGATTTATGCCTGTCTCTCATTTATTCATTTATTTTCAGTTTATTGTTAAAATTGCTAACATTTGTGCATATTTTAAATTAGGCAAATAGCTCTTGAAATTAGCGTTGCTTCAGTTCCGACTTCCCTCCGGATTTTATAAATGTAACTGTGCATAGCCTGTCTTTTATAATGTATAAGAAACATCCGATTGATACTAAAAATGACTTCAACAGCTTAAACAAGTTTTAAAATACCTGAATATGGGCCGGTATGGCATATGATCTGCAGGTTTTGGGTTCTATGTCCTTCTTGACTGCATCAACAAGCGTGAGGATAACGTTGGAAGGGAAGCGATACCTCTCAATTAGCTCATAGTCGGACATAGTGTCAAGCACTTGGCTTCTGTCTCGGAAAACCCGCTCCCTTCGTAAAGGTTTGTCGTTTTCTTGTAAAATTTCCCTCATGATAATGTACGCCATTTTGCTTTTTTTACAAGTGCGTAACTTACGATACAAAAAATCTTAATTTAAAGTAGCCCCTATGCTGGCGTAAGTTACGATGAAATTTTAGACGTAACTTAAGATACGAAGTTTAGTAAAACAGACATTTATCGTTACTTAAGGTTACGACAGAATCTTATCTTAAGATATGTTAGTAAAACTCAAGCCTGAAGTAGAAGTTAGGGCCAAAATTAGAGTTTTTTAAAAGCCAAACTTTGAAATCTAGACAATGATCGAGGTTTAAAATCATAGTACATTTGGAAAAGTCTGTTCAGAAGTATGCACATTTGGACAAATAATATGAAATTAAGTTCTGTCTATTATGGTGCAAAATTTAAAGCCAAAGTAAACTTCAGTGTCAAGGACATGATGTTAGTAGATTCAAGTCTTGTGGCAGATAATACACATGTTAAAATATGAAGGCCATGTCTCTTCAAGTTCAAAAGGTACGAAAAAATTTAAGTTTTTTTTAAAAAGAAATAAAACTTTAACATCAGAGTCATGAGGTAAAAAATCACAGTATATTCGGGAACGTTTCTTTACAGGTGAAATATTTAAAGCCCCCTCTCTTCTCACTCAAAAATTATCACCGAAGTTTTATTTTTGAAAAATAATTCAAACGTCAAGGTCAAAGTCACGAGATCTAAAACCATGGTGCTAGTCAAGGTAACGTTAAAGTCCTTTCTCGTTCAAAATATTTTACTGAGGTTATTCTAAAAAAAAATAAACTAAATTGAAAGGTGAAGGCCATGATGTTAAAAATACTTGAAAGTCTTGTCGCAGGTCATGCATATATGACATATGAAAACCCTATAAGATATCACCAAAAATAGAATATTTGAAATGCAGGTCAAAAGGGAAATAAGGTCATAAGGGAAATAATCATACAACATATTCTTGTACAGTTACGTACGGGAAAGCTTCATAATTCGGACTGGTTTAATATTTCGGACTGTCAATAAACAAGAGGCCCAAGGGCCTTAACGGTCATCTGAGTATAATACACACTGTAAATGATCCATACAAGTATAAAACAAAAATAACTGATAGATGAAGCTATGTTGACCAAGAATTTCAAAAATCTGGTAAAAATACCCTTGCTTATTATAACGTGCGAGACCCGAGTGATCTTCTTGGGATCGCACTTGGTTTTCTCAAGTTTTACGGGGATGATAATGAATGAAAAATATCCAATATATGTATAATGTATAATGAACACTTGCCTAGTGTATAAGGTATTCAATATATTAATATATGTTTTTGTCACTTGCCTAGTGCTTCAGTGTTACATACCAGCACTCTCAACATGGCTAAGTATACAACATGGCTATTTGCCACTTCAACATGTACCGTAGTTACAACTGCTCACTTTGATAATGTTTAATTTAAACAACTTTTTGCAGTCTCTTGTCAACTAAATTCTGATCGCCATGAATTTACCTGACAATATAAGATGTCAATTGTCCAACAGAATACTACAATATACAAGTAACTAAGAAGAGTTGGCCTTTTGGCTATATAGATAATCTTTAATTCAATCTTTTATACTGCTTTCCTGGCAAGAATCCGACTTTGAGCATGCTTTGCTCCTTTAAACCAAACATTCAATTTTATTTTTTTTCTATATATAACATTCTTTTTGTATTCTCATTCCATCATAAATTATACACAAGGATTTCTTGATTTAACACAATTTAGCCAAGGGGAGTAACTCTCATTTGTTTTACTTACAACAATTTTGTACTCTGTTTGCCTCCTAGATACCCAGGAGCACAGAAAAGGCACATTTACTTACATTTTTAAATTAACATTTATATTATTGCATTAAATCTGTTTGCTTAATACTCAGGGGCAGAAGAGAAGATTTTCAAAGTATTAATTAGGAATGTCAAAATATTATTTTATATAGTCGATTATTTGATTGCATTATTCGAACGATAGTCGAATATTCGGAACATTTTCTGAAAAAAAATTTTGAATAGGTTAGCAGAGGCAAAAATTATCCTTCTTTGGTTCATTCACTGGGACATATTTATAACTCCAAAACCCTTTTTTTACTTACGTAAAAAGTAACATCAAATGGCTGTGTTAGACACAGATGTTCATGATGTATTGTTCACAGGCACCTGACATGTGGATAGTGTCTTTATATGAAATAAATTCAGAGCCAATAATTTCTCAAAATTGTGTGATTTAACTCCAAAACCCTTTTTTTACTTACGTAAAAAGTAACATCAAATGGCTGTGTTAGACATAGATGTTCATGATGTATTGTTCACAGGCACCTGACATGTGGATAGTGTCTTTATATGAAATAAATTCAGAGCCAATAATTTCTCAAAATTGTGTGATTTAACTCCAAAACCCTTTTTTTACTTACGTAAAAAGTAACATCAAATGGCTGTGTTAGACATAGATGTTCATGATGTATTGTTCACAGGCACCTGACATGTGGATAGTGTCTTTATATGAAATAAATTCAGAGCCAATAATTTCTCAAAATTGTGTGATCTACGTCAATTGCATTCATAAATTGGTCTGTAAAGTCCCTATTTAGTTTTAATAAGCATTAAAAAATGCCGGCACGATATTATTTTGAATATTAAAGTAAATTGGGAGGAGGTTTAAACGCACACATCCGCACGTCAGGTGCCTGTCATATTGTTAAAGACTATTTGTTCAATTCTTGATTGCCCCGGCTATCAAAATGCCCAGTGTTTACAAAGCATGTTTTAATGATTATCGAAGTGTCAAAAGTGTTACGGTATGTTCCCTGCATTTTGACATTCTTAAAATAACAAAATATAATTGGTGCCACGGGCACTTGCGGGCTGCCCCTCCTCCCTTTCCATTTATTTCTTTTTAAATCTGGGATCGACATACCTTTTTTTCTATTTCTGTATTCTAATATGCACTATATGTTATCAATAATGTAATCCTTTTGTCTCAATAAGCTGTTTCTAAATATATCATTTTCGACTGAGATTTATGTTCTAAATTCACCAGTTCAAACGAACATAAATTATTTATAAAATAAAAACTCAAAAACCAATATAAAAGATAGGCTCGCATGTGCGAGTGCAACAGCTTTTAAAGTTGGGAATTAATACAACAAATTAAACTTTATATAAACAAAACTCTTCATGATCGAGGACATTATTGATTCCATTCTACAAAAAGAAACGATATTTTATTGAACAAATTCATGAAAAATCATATACAAATATACTTGGGTTGGGGTGGGGGAATCTGTTGCACATAAGGCAGCGAAACTTTGAATGACTAAAAAATCCTCTTAATGCAACCCAATACAGACAAAGCTACATGCCTAGCATGATTTTCACCTATAGAACCGCGAAAACTTCATCTAATCGATCTTCGATACTGCCACTCCTCCAAAACAACGTGTTTACCGTAACTTTTTATATTTAATACGTTCTAAATTCACCAGTACAAACGAACATAAATTATCTATAAAATAAAAACTCAAACTCCAATATATAGGATAAGCTCGCATGCACGAGTGCAACAGACTTCGAAGATAAAGAAAAGATTGAAATTGTAATTTTAACAACATCAAAAAACCATACCCCTAAATTCCAAGACCATTAGTAACAAACAATTGCTGTTGAAAACTCTCTTTCACACATCCATCTTTAGCCGAATCAGATCGCCATCTACCATGTTTTTTGAACAGTCTGTCACATATGCCAGAATTAGTGGTTGCAGTGGCACCACCTGCACGGAGGCTATGCAAACCTTGCGCTTATCTAGCCCAATAAATTCAAGTGCAGACAATAAAATTTCCATAGCTCGGGTATGTGACAAAATTTTATGTCCTTTTAAGGAATAAACACCAGATTTTTTTACGAAAATTGATGGGACGATAAATAAACTCATCTGAATCAGGAGTAATATTAGCTTTCTCTAAATACCTTCTCGTGATAAGAGGACATGTACAAAAAAAATGTAACACAACCTGTACCTGATTTGTAAACTGTACTCCCTTTCATATAACGATCAGATCAAACAATTACATGTTTCGCTCCCGAACAATACACGTATGCTTTTAAGAATTAATTTCAGGTGATGTAGGTTCCTTTTATTGTTTGATCGATGACCAATTGATCTGTGACATCTTTCCTTAGCGAGAATTCCAAGGAACACGGATTAGAATATCCAGATAGTTTATGCGCCCAGCTAATAGCATAAAAAGCTTCATCGATAGTATTTACTTTATTACAGGTATCACTATGTTTGACCAAGTACAATGAAATATTATAATCTGAAGCAGGAAGTGGAGAAATCTGATAGTTAGAACACAACTTACGGAATCTGTTAACGCAGCTGAACTGTTTTTCCGCCTTTGATTTTACACACACCGAAGAAAGTTTGTCGGCTAGTTCCTTTAACTGCGGATTCACACAAGTCCAAGTAAAAGACCATTTGCCCGATTTCAAAATATCTGCAAAACTGTTGAATTAAAAAATTACTTAATGTAAATAATTTGAATATCAGGACCTCGTTAAATTAAATGAAATGGCCTTGTCCTATAAACCATTAACACTACCATTTTTCAAAATAATGCTCCATTGAATTAAATAATTACTTAATGTAAGTCGTTTGAAATATCAGGACCTCGCCAAATAAAAAACATATATGGCCTTGTCCAAAAGACCACTTGTACTAACCATTTTTCATAATAATGCATTGTTGAATTAAATAATTATTTTAATGAAATATGTGGAGATAACGAACAGTATTCGACCGCAAAAGTCCATTAAACATTACAAAATAGGAGCAGAGCAAACACGGACCCCTAAGACATCAGAGGTGGGATCAAGTGCCAGGAGTGGAGGAATGAGCATCCCCTGCCGATCGGTCACACCCGCCGTGTGCTCCTTGTCATGATCGGAAAATAACGGAAAAATCCGTCGACAATTCAGTGTGTAAATAATGGCCTAACAATTAGTATGAAA